GGAGGTGAGGAAGGAGGCTGGGTGAGGAGGAGGGTGGCGGAGGTGAGGAAGGAGGCTGGGTGAGGAAGAGGGTGATGGAGGGGAGGAAGGAGGCTCCCTGAGGAAGAGGGTGACGGAGGTGAGGAAGGATGCTGGGTGAGGAAGAGGGTGACGGAGGTGAGGAAGGAGGCTCCCTGAGGAGGAGGGTGACGGAGGTGAGGAAGGAGGCTGGGTGAGGAAGACGGTGACGGAGCTGGGGGTGGGATGGCCACAGCACCCGCTGCCGATGCTGTTGCCATGGCGATCCGGGACCAAGTCCTGCACTAGGCCAGGTCCTGCACAAAGAGCCTCACGGCCCTAAGGAGGGAGATCCTTTCTACAGATAAGAAACTGAGGCACAGAGAGATTAAATCTTGCCCCAGGTCACTGGCGAGTTCCGGACAGAGCCTGCCATGAACCTGTGCGAGTGGGCCCCAGAGGGGTGACCTCAGCCTCCACTCGCCTTGGCCTGTCCTGCGCTCTGCCAGCTGTTCTCTGAGACCCTCACAACCCAGCACCCCCTTCCCTCCTCCCTCCTAACTCCGCTGGCAGCGTGGAATGCTGTGAGCAAGCCAGTCAACTCCCACCTCCCAGCATGGCCAGCCCCACCCAGTCTCTGTCCACAGGGACGGGCCAGTGAGCATGACGTTCTGCCTGGGTCGGGCCTCTGCTCCACTGAGCCTCAGCTCAAGCCCTGGCACCAGGGAGGGGCCTTTGCTGGCATCTCTGCAGAGAGTCAGCTCCCTGGCCCGGGCAGGCACAGCTCCACCGGCCCCTGAGGCCCCAGCAGGGACACCCCGCCTGCTGCAGCCGGGCCAGGCGTCAGAGATTTGGGGACCTCTAGTCACCCCGTGCTCTGGACTATCAGGATGGCTCCCAGGTGGGGCTGCAAAGCCCCCCATCCCGGGACCCGGGGTGTGTTCCCAATTCCCGCTCCAGTCTCCTCTCCTGGCCCACAGACTCGGGGAGAGGGGCTTCCAGGGCTGACCGGGCTGGAACTCAGGGGCTCTGTGGGGAGCCGCTCCAGGACACCGTCTGCCGAGGCCCCTCCTCCCTGCAGACGCCAGAGGAGCAGAGGCCACTGGCCCGTAGAGCTTTGGCTCCCATCTCCCCTAAAGATGCCCCAGAACTCGCCTTGGGAGCGGGTTGCTATGGAGATGGGTTGATGGAAGTGGACCAGTGAAATATACAACGGGGAATGTGTCCAAGTCTGGATCAAATACTACCGCCCTGGTGGGCTTGAAGCATCGCATCTCCTGCTCCAGAGGCCCCAGCCGAGGGCACCACAGCAGGAGGGCTGATTCTTCTCTCTGAGAACCTGAATGCCTGGGAGGCACTGGGTGGGGAGGAGCCCCCAGGAGGGCCCCCAGAGGCCAGGAGGCTGTGAAATCCCCACTCACCAACTAACACATGGGATGCATAATTTTGTGCTAAATCCTTCTACTAACACAAAACAACAGTTGCAATTGCCAAAAATATATGAACACAATTATGAGAAGATGCTCTAATTTCTTCTGCACACTGGGGGTGTCTGTGCACAGCCCCCTCACCGTGGAACACCGGCTTCCCAGGGGCCCCGGGCTCACTGGGGCCGTGGAGGGCCTGGCTGCCGTGGGTGGTGAGTGACTCCCATGGGGACATCTGCAGAGGCGGCCACCCACATGCACGGGCAGATCGCCGGGGGCTCAGCCTCCCCAAGAGCAAAATGACTCACCCGCCCCGTGGCCCAGTCAGCCTCGACGTGCGCTGATGACAGCAGGATGGGCAGCCACCTCTGGTGTTGGGTTTGGGGAGCGGGGAGAAGTGGGTGGGGGCAGAGGGTGGCATGGCCGCTGGGGGCCTACTCACCGGAGCTGCACCTCGGGGGTTAAACCATCCCGGTCGCTCCCAGCCATGCCGCTCCTGGAACACGCAGCCTTGAGCAAGGAGCTCCTGGGGGGGACAAGCACCCTTCATGCTGGGCCACACACGCCCATGCAGAGCAGAGAATGACCGAATCCCCCACTCTATACCCCAGGGGGCAGAGGGCAGAGAGGTCCTCGCACTCAGAACCAGGTCCCAAGCCCAGACTTCAGATCCCCCCCAGAGCCCCCAGAATCCCCATCTGTACAATTACCTTCTGGACTGAATGGCATCCCCCCATTCCTACACTGAAGCCCTGTTCCCCAGTGTGACTGTACTTGGAGATGGGGCCTGTGAGGAGGGGATTGGGGTGAAATGAGGTTGTAAGGGTGGGGCCCGAGTCCCTACATGGAGAGGGGCTCTCTCTGCCACGTGGGGCACAGCAAGAAGGCGGCCGCCCGGACGCCAGGTTCCTCACCAGGAACCCGTCAGCTGGCGCTGAGATCCGCACCTCCCAGCCTCCAGACTGTGAGAATGAATTTCTGTTGTTTCGGCCCCCCAGTTAGTGGTGTTTTGTTGTGTCGGCCCAAGCAGACCGTACACCACATGACCCAGCAATGCCGCTCCTAGGTGTGTACCCAAGAGAAACGGAAACGGGGACTCGCACAGTCCACGTACACGCGTGTTCACAGCAGCATGATTCCCAACAGCCAAGGGGTGGAAACGGCCCACGTGCCCATCGACTGACGAACCGATAAATGTGGATGTCCATACAAGGGAACACTGTCCAGCCCTAAACAGGAATGGAATTCTGACACCTGCCACAACACAGGTAAACCTCAAAACCAACACACTAAGGGGAAGAAGCCAGACACAAAAGGTCCCATAGTGTCCGATTCCACTGATGTGAAAAGTCCAGAATAGGCAAATCCATAGGGAGAGAAAGTAGGTCAGTGGCTTTTCTAGGCTGTGGGGAGGGAAAATGGGGAGCTATTGCTTAACAGGTAGAGGCTTTCCTTTTGGGATGATGAAAATGTTCCGGAACTAGATAGTGGTGATGGCTGTACAGCATAGAGAATGTACTTAATCCTCCTGAATTGTATGATTTAAAACGCTTTTAAAATGGCAAATTTTACGTTTTGTGTATTTTACCACAGTAAAAAAGTATAGTGGATGCAATAAAGTAATATAGTGGCAGATTTCTTTGAAAATAAATTTGTTTTAAAGGAAAATAGTATCTCCACTCTCAGGTTGGGAAGGGCCCTGTGTCCACAGGCAACCCCCTCCGAGCGGCAACGGGCCCAGAGCCCCAGGCTGAGCGTGACAGGGTAGGCAAGTGCCAGGACGGAAGGGTGCCCACGGGCCGGGACAGGCTGTGTCTGCCGCCTCCTGTGGACCACTAGGACCCCGAGGGGGAGGGGAAGCAGACGAGGTCACACTGCCAACCGTGACACCCGGATACATCCCCCCCAGTGAGTGATGGAGACACATGGACCGGGGACGAGTCACCTTTCCAAGGAGGGAAACCGGGGCGCAGGCTCCTCTATTTAACAGAACACACGTCAGTGGCTGGGGAGCGACCCCAGAAGGGTGTTAAGAGGAAGAGAAGTGGTGGGGGGAGAGTGCAGATTTCTCCTCGGGGGCAGGGGGTGCCGCCGCCCTGCCGTGTCTCCCTCGGGTGGAACTGTGCCCTTGTGAGGAACGTGTCTGAGCCCATCTACTTCCACTCGCCAGTCCAGCAAGCCCTGCGTTTGTTGGGGAGGCTGCTGAGCTGTTGGGACCAGTGTCGGGACCAGTGTCGGGACCACTGTGGAGAGCCTGAGCTCACGTGTGGCCTGAGGTCCTAGCAGGCCCGCTAAGCCAGGCTGAGGGGCAGGGCAGCCCCGGAACCACTGACGTCTTCCAGCCTCCATCCTCGAGAGGTGCAGTGGACACCAGGTCCCTCTGGGGTCCAGGCACTGGTGGCCCAGGTGAAGGAGCCTCCTTCTTCAGCTTAAATGCACCCTCCTCCCTGAGCCTGCCCTCCTGCCCCCTCCCCCGTCCACCCATTCCACAAACATTCCCTGAGCATCTGTTAAGAGTCGGGCTCTGAGGGCCGGCCTGGTGGCGCAAGCGGTTAAGTGCATGTGCTCCACTGGGGCGACCTGGGGTTCGCTGGTTCGGATCCCGGGCGCGCACCGACGCACTGCTTGTCAAGCCATGCTGTGGGGGAGTCCCATATAAAGTGGAGGAAGGTGGGCACGGATATTAGCCCAGAGCCAGTCTTCCTCAGCAAAAAGAGGAGGATTGGCATATGTTAGCATAGGGCTGATCTCCTTACAAAAACAAAGAAAAAAGAGTCAGGCTCTGTGCTCAGTGCTCAGGAACCAGAGGGACCAGGGCACAGCTCCTGTTTGCAGGGTCCTCGCAGACAGATAAGCAAAACGTGCAGCACAAGATGAGGTGGAGGGTGCAGGGAGGGGCTGGAGATGGGCTGGGAGCACAGGTAAGGCGCCTGGGTTGTCCAGGGCCTGAGAGGGTACAGAGGGGCAGGCCTCAGGGAAGGGCACCTGACAGTGGGTTTCATCATTTAAGTAGAAGCTCGCCAAGGAGCAAAGATATCCCAAGCAGGCTGCACAAGCAGGAGCACATCTCCCCCGCATGCCGCTGTCTGCTGCGCCCCCCTCTGATATGCAGCTGCCCACACCTGCCCATGTACATGCCACTCAGAGCCCCCGCTCTCAGCAGTCAGGCAAGATTCCCAGGCGTGTGCTCTGAGCACGTTCTGTTGGTAAGCAGCTGGGAATGCATGAGCCGCCCCATCCCCTCACCTGCCCTGCAGCTGGGGTACCACACGCACTCTCGTCGCCCCAAGACCCTGGACTACCCGAGAGTGACCACCGCTGGCACAGCGCAGGCGCTGTCAGGTCACGGTACCTCGTGCAGGGGGTCTCTCCTCATGTTGCGCCCCGCCAGAGGCTCGTCGTGGGGGAAGACCACGGAGTAATTCTTGGCGTAGGACTCGTGGCTGCGCTCGCGAATCCAGCGGCGGTGGGCCGTGAGCGAGTGGTGGAAGCGCCTGTGCAGACGGAGGGGCCCGTGAGGGAGGGGCCGGCCAGGGACCCCGGGCAAAACCAGACCCTCATCCCCGGGGCACGGGCATCAGGAGGGGCTCCTGGCTCTGCAGGCTCCTACCGTGGGGCTCGGGCAGCCCCCAGACCTCGGTGAGCCCCTGCACCCCCGCCCCAGCTGTCGGGGGCAGTGAGCGAACACTGCGGGCACAGGGCCTCGGGCTGGGACGGTGCTCAGGGGCGAGCGTGCTTCTCATCCCGACCAGGGCACTGGGCTCAGGTCCCCCTCATCGCCCTCTGTCCCATCACCACATGTGGATCCCAGGTGCCTCCGCACACCCAGGCCTGAGCGGGCCCCCGGGAGGGGTCCAGAAGCCCAGTGATCCGGTGGAAGTTCATGTGAAGGGTCTTTAGAGTTTAGGGTCAGCAGATGTGACAGGATGCCCCTTTCTCCTCTGTGCCCCCTCAGTGGGGAGGCAAAGGGGTGCCGGCGACACCTCTCAGGTCAGGCCCCCCAAAGCCTGTGATTCTGAAGCTGGGCCCCATCTCTGAGGCAGGCCCGGGACCCCAGGTGTGCGGAGACTCTGGGAGAAATCCCAGGTGTGTCTGGGAGCCCTGCTCCGGGGGACGGTGTGATCAGGACAGTTGCAGGGCTGTCCCCTTGGAGCTGGGACACTGCGTAGAGCCACTTCAACCCCTGTGGTATCCAGCTCCAACCCGGCGGGCCACCCACTATTCTTGCTGAGCTAAGAGGCCCCAGCACCCATCTCCCAGGCCCCCTCCTCCCGCCCTCGTGTGGTCAGAGCAGCTGGAGCCGCCCAACAGCATTTCTGTCTGGTCTCCTCAGCTGCGGGGCCCGACTGTGCACGGCAGTGAGCCGCCGGGCCTGCAGCCCCGCCTGTGCACAGCCCTCCTCTCAGACCCCCAGCTCATCCCGGCCTCCCCGTCTGTCCCCAGCTTCACTCTCCATCTGCTGGCCCCTCACTTATCCTCCAGGGCCGGCCTCCCCACCAGCTATGTCCTCCTCCCCTACTTACCAGGACTCCGGGGACTTTTCCTAAAACTAACGGCCCACACTCCCAGCCCTGCCTACGTCGATACACAGGAGCCTCAAATGTGTTTCACATGCGGAGAGGTTAGACCGCCGTTCCCATTTCACAGATGGAGCAACCAAGGCTCAGAGAGGAGGAGGAACTGGCCGAGGGCCACACACCTAATAGGTGGTGGGGCTGGGGTGACTGGGAACCCCTGTGGGTTTCCAAGGGGAGGCCAAGCCTGCTTCGCCACCCATGCCATGCAGGAGGCAGCGGCCGTGGCCTGGAGGCCACCTGGTGCCAGGTCGGCCTGGGAGCCTCACATGAGCCCAGGGTTCAGAAGCGTCCTGGACCTGGCCCGGGGCCCCGACTGCCCCCTGCAGGCGCCCCCCTCACTGAGCCGCCCTCTCGCGTGTAAGAGGAGGCAATGGCACAGCACGGCCACCTTCCTGTTCTGACCTCTTGAGCTTCATGGGCAGGATGACACGTCAGGAGAAACTGGACACAGGAAAGCTACATTTTGGAGCTGGCTCTTTCTCTGTCCCCTCTCCTTGCTCGGCCTTGTGGTGACTCCCTGACGCAGCCCCCTCATTTCCTCGCTCCGCCTCTCTCTTGCAGCGTCTGTGTCTCGCCCCCATCCCCTGGCTCAGGCCCGGGCAGGCGGAACATGTCATGGGTGCTGACAGCCCCCGGGTGCCGGGTGCCAGCAGCTGGTCCTGGTGGTGGCAGTCGGCCAGTCGGGGGTGGGGTGGGGTGGGGGGCGGCTGGGTGGATATGGAAGTCCCACGTCAGGGACCGCTCTGGCCTGGGATGCGATTATCCGGCCGTCTCCTGGGTGCACTGCGTGGGCCAGAAGGCCGGGCAGACCGGATCTCACAGTTTCCCTCCCTGTACCCTCTGCCTCCCAACCCCAGGGCCCCAGCCCAGTCCGGGACAGAGGTGGGAGCTCTGTCCCCCAGCCACAGCCCAGCCCACAAAGCGCTCCCGCTGTGTCTCAGTGTGCGAGAGAAGGCGGCCGACAGAGGGAGGCCCAGACCCATCCCAACAGGGCAGGGGCTCCGCCAGCCGGAGAGCCAAGGCTGCTGCTGAGCGCAGGACGCCCCGCCCCGCCCCACGCAGCCTTCCACAGCCCAGGGGTGGGCAGGCGTGTCGGCCCCCGTTTGCAGTTGTGGACACTGCGGCACTGGGAGGCGCCGGGTGTGGCCAGGTGTGAGACCCGGTTGGTTGGTCTGATTCCAGTGCTGAAGCCCTCAGCCCGAGGGAGGCCAGGGCATGGCAGACAGCCCCGCCCACTCCGACACCTCCTTTTTGCTGCTTCTAGCAGGAGGGGTGTGGACTGGTCCATCCCCGAGGCCCCTTGCAGCTTTATCATTTCTGGAACATTCCTCTCTTGGGAGAGCGAGTGGGCGCAGACCCAGATGGGCTCTGAGGCAGCCACAGAGCAGACCACACTGTGCCAGGCACCACAGAGGGGGTGGCAGTCGGGGGATCTCACTGTCTGTCTGTCTCTGTGGGGGCCAGTCATCCCTGCGGTAGGAATAACGTCCTCATCAGGCCAGGAAGGGATGAGTCTGCAGAGGAGTGGGGGCACACTGCAGGGGCACACTGGGCTGAACCAGCACCCCCTCCACCCCCCACCACCTCCAGCCATACCGGGCAGCTGAGGTCTCCTGTGCCAGGGGCAGTAACCGCAGAGCGGGCTGAACACCCAGAGGCAGTGTCGCCCGCTGTGCACAGGCTGAGGCCCAGCCACAGAACTGCCGCCTGGGGACAAGACCCCGGCCCCACCCACACCCACCCTGCGGACCCTGCCTGGGATTGCCTTTGTCACTGGCCCCATTCGCAGAAGGCTGAGGGGCACTGGGAAGCCTCGAAGCTCTGACGTCGGCGCCCTCAGCTCAGGTTTATTTGGCGTTTCTGTGTGCACGCCTGGTGCCAAGCGTCTCACCTGCACAGATGTGGTCACTGCCCCGCCGACATTCACGGCACACACGTCACCATCCCTGGGTTATTGTGGGGAAACTGCCCGGCACTGAGTCTGACTTATTCCCGCCACCCCGTAATTGAATGATGCGACTGACATCTCCACTCAAGGCTGCTGGGTCCCAGCCACTGCACACATACTGCTAATTATCCCGGCCCAGCCCTGTGCCCCGGGCAGCCTGTGCAGGTCCTCTTGCTCCCCAGGCCTCAGTCTCCCTATCTGCAAAGTGGGAAGATGAGACTCCACTGCTGATCCTGGAGTTGTCTGGCGGGTCAGCTAGGACACCAGGACAAGAGATCGTGGAAACTGTGAAGGGCCATGGATCTGCCAAACCCAGGCACCCTGCAGCCCCACCCCAGCTGGCAGCCTTCCTCCCTTTCTTCCCTTGCTGCTGCCTCTTCCAAGAAGCCCTCTGGATTTCAGAGCAGGCTCCTTTCTTAAAAGCCCTCTCTATTTTCCCCACCCGCCAGATCCTGGGGCAGCGGGTGAGCAGCGCTCCCGCCCATGGGTTCCGGCGCGCGCTTGCCTGATGTCGTAGCCATACATGTCCTTCTCCGGGCGCCCGTGGACGATCCATTGGGCCAGCTCCTGCCCACAGCCGCCGCCCAGCATCATTCCTGCAGGGGTGGAGGCGCAAGTCTGCAGGCCGCCCCCAGAGCCCCTCCCCTCAGTTCTGTGCCCCTCCTGTCTCCACAGGCAGCCTCACTCCCCAAACCCTGGATCTCACACGAGGGCGTGCCACCTAAGGGGACCTCAGCCCCTCCCTGCAGGCCTGTCCTGTCTCCACCCCTGTCAGGGGCCCAGTGCTCATGGGCCAGCCCCCGTCCGAGGGAGAACTGGAGAGGCTGAGCTGGCCACCTCACTCACTCACCTGCACTGTTGAAGCCACAGCCCAGGAAGAATCCTCGGAGTTCGGGCGCCTCCCCCATCAGGGGCTTGTGGTCTGGTGTGAATGACTCTGAAACGGAAGCGGTGGCCTGAAGCTCCCTCCACGCCACAAGCACCTGGGGCGGGGTCTCCCGAGAGGCAGAAATTGAGGCAGGGGTCTTCAGGTGCCTCCTTCATCCAGACCCTCTCCATCCTCAAGACCCAGCCCAAGGCCACTTCCTCCAGGGAGCCTCCCTGATTGCTCCTGCCACTTTCCGCTGAGCTCCTTGGCATGTACTGCCAGAACTACCCAACCTGAATGGGGTTCTGCCTTGTGGGGCCCTGGTTTGTCTCGTGGCTATCGCCACTCTCCTGCGATGAGGGGCCTTTCCCTGAGCCCCCACCACAGCATGTGGCCCCCGTCACTGCACTGTCTTCCTGCTGTGTCATTGCCGTGACTCCTCACTCTCACTCCCTGAGACACGAGGACCTTGAGAGCAGGAACTGGGCTTTGCACACTGCTGTGTCCCGAGACCTAGTACACAGCCCAGCAAACAGTACGTGCTTCATCAATGTTTGTTGAATGAATAAATGATCATAGTTCTTTGGGAGAGGGGACTAAGCCTCCCACTTCAGTCTGCTGCAAGCATGCCACGGGCAGAGGTCAGGACGCGAAGGGAGAGGGACGCTTGGGCGTAATTATAAATAGCTGGACTTTGTAGCCACAGTCCTGGGTTCCAACCCTGCTTTACCCCTTCCTAGCTGTGTGACCTTGGGCAAGTCAGTTCACCTCTCTGAGCATCAGTTTCCTCATCTGTAAAATTGGGATCACGGTTCTTACTTCACAGGGCTGTGAGTTAGTCTGTCTACAGATATTTGCAGCCCACCTGTCTGTGCCCAGAGCTTGGCCTGGGAAGGCAGCTCTGAATAAGACGAGTCCCCACTCTGGGAGCTGACGGGAGAGCGAAGGAGACAGAGAGTAAGGAGGCAAGCAAGCAAAAAAGAGGGTCTGGGAAGAAACTACGCTGTGACAAGGGGTCCCGAGTGACTGGGGTGCTGGCTGCTCCTAACAACCCTTTCTGGCCGGCACCATCGTTACCCGGTGGCAGATGAGGACGCTGCATGGCCTTGGGCTTCATTTATCCCTGGTCACCCTGCTAGTGACCCACGGACCCGGGACCACTGGTCAGGGCTGCCTGGCTGCCCGCCCGAGCTCTTATCCTGCGTGTGGGCTGGTAACAAGCTGGGTCCTGCTCCCTGCGGTACCGGGCCGGACCCTGGTCTCTGACCCTCAGCATCTGAGCCGAAGGAGGCCGCCAGCCCCAGGGGATCTGGGGGACGTTTCCAAGCTGCCGGGTACCCCGGAAGGCAGAAAAATGGCTGCAGGGGAGGCTGGAGGAGGCAGGTCAGAGAGGAGGGCAGGGCCTGCGGTGAGGGCCTTGGAAGCCACAGTGATTCTCCTGCAGAGGCCTCAGAGGGGAGAGACGCCGTGTGATAAGTGTCAGAGCTTCCCTGGGGCCGTCTGCAGTGACCGGGCTGTAAGGGGCAAGGGAGGAGGCCGGGAGGGCATCAAGGTGACCGGGGGAGAGGCCAGGGTGGCTCGGAGAAGGTGGAGCCACCCTGGCAGGAAAGGGGAGGGGAGGCTTCGGTTATGTGCGGGGACGGCCCAATGACAGTTTGGGGGCTCAGGAAGTGTCTCCAGGCCCCGGGCAGGCGGGCGGGACGCTCTGAACAGCCTCACAGGGAATCTGAGGGGAGAGCCAGATGGAAGAGAGTTCTGAGGGACAAGGGTCTCTTGGATGTTTGACAAATGACTCAAGACTGAGCAACGCGAGGATGCAGGATGCACGGGACCTCCAGGCAGCGCGGACAGGGCCCTCCCGACCCTGGAATGAGAGCTCCGCTCACCCCCAGCTGCCCCGAAGTCAAGGGGGCCTGGGACTTCCCTGCTCTGCTCTGGAGGCCAAAGGCCATTGGCCGGGCCTGTCCTCCCCAGCACAGAGAAATGTTGATTTTCCCACGAAACCTCGCTCACAGCCAGGAAACCAGCACAAGATGTCCTCACACGCACATCCCCTCCCATGGGGCTTCCTGGGAGTGATGACCCCCCAGTCCAATTAAAATGAGAACCCTCCCAGGTTATTCCTGCCCCTGGGGTCGTTCCAGGCCTGTGCTTCTCACTGCCAGTCCACACAGGCCCGGGGAAGCCGCGGGGGGCAGTAAGTCATCACCCGCACCCCACACCCGAGCCCTGTGCTGGAGTGCGCTCACTCCCATCCTGCCCACTGCGGCTGGCCAGTGTCCCCATCTACCTCTTCTGGGGAAGCCGCGCCTCTCATCCAAGGTTTCCCTAGGAGCCGAACAGATTGAAGCAGCCCGGGCCGGCGGCTGTGTAGACACCAAGTGTGCCAGGACAGAGAGGGCTGGACGCCCCGGCAGGCCACAGCCCCCTGCGCGTCGGGATCCTTCCCCTCTCTTGTCCTGGCCTGCCTTCGCTCCCTGCGTGACCTGTGGAGCCTGCTTTACCCACTGGCCTCTGGCCGTCCTCTTCTGCTCACGAGGCTCACCATTGTTTGCTGGCCGGGCCATGCCCTGCACCTCCCCTGCGGCTCCTCACCCTCACTCCGCTCTGCTGACAAGTGCGCCCATTTCACAGAGGAAGACATCCAGGCCCAAGGGGGCTCACCAACCTGGGCCACGCGGCCAATCAAGGCCCAGCTGGGCTCCAACTCAGCCTCAGATACAAAGTTTCCTCTTTGGGCAAGGCTGTATCTCCTGAACCTCCCTCCACAGCCCTGAAACAGGCAAGGTTCCCCCTACGCACTTCCTTCCTTTGTTGAGGATTAAAGAGATCCTGTGTGTGCCAGGAAGGAAGGGGGATCCCGTGTGATTCTGCTGGAACCGCGATGGGAGGCGGCCTGCTCCCCCTGCCCTGACACTCATCCTGCAGCCCTACACAGCGCCCACTTACCCTTAAGGGCTTGGTGAGGCTGTCCCTCCTCTGAGCGGCCCACCCTGCACCCACCACCCCTGTCCTTCCCGTCAGGGCACCTGCCCCACTGGGCTATAGTAGACTCAGCACCCTGGTCTGCCCGCCAGACGGCGCGTCTGCCTCTGCACAGCGGACGTGCCGGTTAGCGTGGAGGGAAAGGCAGATGATGCTGGGTACCTGGTAGCTTCTGGGCCAACCTCACTCCGAGTCCCTCAGCTGTAAACATGTGGCTCCGGCGCCATCGGGAGCCCTCCCACCACCCAGAGACCACCCTTGGCCAGGACCCGGGGCCAGCAGCCCCACCCACCTGCGCCCTCACCTGGAACAGGTTGCCTCCCCTGGTCTGGAGCCCACCGCCTCAGGGTACCGCCCATGAGCCCCGCCAAGCCTCTAACAGCAGCCCTGCCCAGCTCCTCACGCACTCGGCCCGGGGCAGGCACGGGACAGCGGGCAGGCACTCAGCCAAGTCGGAGGAACTGAGTGGACGCTGTGCGGGCTCCTGCACACCACGCGCCTGCCTGCCTTGCACCTGGCCTGGAATCTTATTCTGGAATCTTCTCCACGTGCACACAGCCTTTGAGACCCAGCTCAGACAACCCACTCAGCCTGCATCAGCCTCACGTGCCCTGGGGTCCCTTGGCTCCCTGGGCACCCCCAGGACGGCTCTGTCCCAGGCATCGAGTTACTGAGTGGCCTTCTCTACCCGCTGAGCTGTGAGTTGCTCGTGCGGGGATCTGTCACATCATCTTTGAGCTCCCAAAGCCCGGCCGGCTGGCGGGTCCTGCGGGAATGAGCTGCTGGCCTCGGCCAAACTCTTCAGCTCTGTGGGTCCGAGCCTCCCAGCCTGGGGCACAGCTCGGGTAAGCACCAGCCAGCAGGGTGGGTGTTGGGGCTGTGCTATGCAGACCCCACGGCAGGCACTTGAGACCTTTGTTCATAGCCTCCCCTTCTGTCCCAGCCTCCTTCGGATCAGCTCTCCCAGAGGCCAGAGATGAGGGCCAGGGTTCAGGGCTTTTCCACGCTGAGCAGGTGTCTGGCCCTGCCTTTGCTGGATGCCGAGGCCAGAGAGCAGGGGGTGAGGCCAATGGCCTGGGGTCCCAGCCAGGACAGAGCCCTCTGGAAAGCAGGAGAGTGGGAGCTGAGGCCAGACTTGGCACTGGGGGGCTCCAGCCCTGTGGGAATGGTGTCAGGAAAGGTCCTCTCCTCGATCAGCCTCCCAAGCGCTGGGTGGGGCTCACCATCCCATTTTATAGACAACAAGACCAAGTCCCAGGGAGGGGTCGAGTGGGGATTAAGAGCCCCAGGCTGGGACATCAGGAGGGGCTCACTCTGGGGTGGAAAAAAGCCCGGCCGTGTGCCCATGGGCAAATTTCTGCCCTCGCCAAGCTCAGGTCTCCTGCCTGCAGAGATGAGTAAAGGCAGCGCAGATACCCAGGGCTGCGGGAACGATGTCACGAGAGCGTGGGGACAGCCTGGCACAGGCCAGCCTCAGGAGTCCAGCAGAGGGACCCAAGGACACCCACCCCCAGCTTCCAGGCCTCCCCACTCACCCGGGCCACAGACTGTGGACTTGACCCCCGTCTTCTCCAGCACAGGGACCCGGTTGACGGCCCCTTCAATGTGCTGGCTGAACACGTCCCAGTCGAGGTCGAAGAGGCCGAAGGCAAACTTGTCCGACACCTGGGGAGGCAGGGCGGGGGCTCATGTCCCATGACAGCTGCCCAACGGGAGCCGAGCTGGGTCAAGCGGGGGCCTAGCCAGCCTCCCGGAGCTGGGTGAGTGACGGGGCCAGGCTGGTGCCCCTCAGGTCGCCTCAGTGTGTCTCCCCATCATCGACCCATCAGTGGGGCCTGTCTGTCTCCCTTCTCTGCCCAGGCCTGGGCCCCACCTGCTCTGCCCTTGACTGTTGCAACGGCCTCTACCTGGTCACCCTGCTTCTCCATCCTCCTTCAACCTGGTCTCTCAAATCAGATCACACCCTCTTTTGCTCTCAAGTCTCCCATGGTTCCCCATGACTCTCTGTGGCCCATAAACCCCTACCTGAGCCGGTCCTGCCCACGCCTACCACTGACCCAAGGCCGGCTGATCTTCCTACAGTTCTTCGAGAAGGGAAAACTTGATCTGACCTCGCGGCCTCCACCTCCACCTGGGGCAGCTCCTCGCCCACCTAGCTCTCTACAGGGCTCTGCTCAGATGTCCCCTCCTCAGGGAACCCTGTCTGACCACAGTCGGAAAGGCCTCCTTCCACTCCAGTCTTCCCAGGCTTCACCTTAACCTGCTAACTTCATTCAGTGCACAGATCACCAACCAAAACTTCTTTACTTACATCTTTGTTTGTTTATTCTATGTCTCCCCACCAAAATACAGGCCTCCTGGGACAAGAACTTTTCTCTTAGTCTCTCTCTTTCCCCAGAAAATAAAATAGTATCTGGCCCAAGTAGTCATTTAGTCTTTCAATTTGTGGACTAAACGCGTGAATATAGGAGCAAGGGTGGCCCACACACACGCTCGACCCCAGAAGCTGCCAGAAGAGCAGCCCAAGTGGGGGGAAGATGCTGCTGCAGCCGCAGGGGCTGCGGGAGGGCAGAGGACCATCTGCTAACGGACAGAGGACTTAAAAGATTTCATGATCTTCTAAGATCATTATTTTACACATTCGCAGCCTCTAACAATTGATGTTTTGAGGCAAGCCCTCCACATGCCCAGGTCTGAATCGACCTGTGTGCCAGGTCCTTCAGGGGTCAGAGGAAAGTGGGTTTGACCCTTGTGGGGCTGGGGCACCTGCCATTTCTCGGTGTGCACCCAAGGAGCTTCAGGGGGGTGGGCCCTCTGGAAGGTTTCCCCACACTGAGATGCAGCCCCAAACCCCCTCCCTCGATCCCTCAGTGACTCACCTCCTCCCAGAAGATGGGGTTGGCCTCATAGCCGCCCACAGACAAGGCATCTCCTTGGAGGCGGAGGTAGACCGAGGCGTCGTGGTCGCGGACGTTGGGCATGTTCTAGAGGGCAAAGCAGAGAGGCCGCAGCATTAACCAGGCTGGGTGGTGGGCCCAGTGCCTCCACCAGTGGTCCCAGGCCCGCTGGAGGCCCATGGCACCTCCTCCTGATTGTAGGACCCTGAGGACAGAGTGGACCTGGGGCCTCGGGTCACATAGTGGACGAACCACCCCCATTCAAGTCTCTCCTTCCCCAAACCCCATACAAGAGCAGCAAAGGTGGAAGGAGAAGGAGGAACGGAGGAGAGAGGGAGGGAGAGAAGAAAAGCTATAACCCACAAAGATATGAGAACAGGGGAGAGACAGCCATGGACAGGGGAGATCTCAACCCACACTGGGGGGCAGGGGCTGGAGGAGGGCTGGGCCCTAGCTCAGGTTTCAGGGAGGGAGACTGAACAAGGCAGGCTAGTTTGTCACCCACCGTCCCCTCCAATCTGCAGAGGTCGAGCCTGTGGCAACCCCAGGCCCTGCTGCAGGGGGTGATGGGAGGGGTGTGAATGTGTATGCATGTGTGTGTGTGTGTGTGCACATGTGTGTGAGTGAGTGTGAGAGAGTGTATGTGAACAGAAAGATGGGCTGGGGGCTCTTCAAAGCAGTTGCCCCCAGAACCCCACCATCCCCACCACGTGCAGCCCAGGCCCGGCCCTGCCCTGCAGGATCCCCGAGCTCTGTCTGGAGAAGTGCATCCCCAGAGGCTCCAGGCTCGGGGGAGGCGAGGAATGGGCTGCCACCCCTCTCGACAGCAGATTGGAGACTTCTGTGGGGACAGTGAGTGGCCCATGGAAGGCTCCAGGTACTGATACCAGGGTCCCTCACCAAAGAGGATGGCTCGTCCCTCAACCCCCTACCAGAGGCTCTCCTGTCCTCCCTGCTCAATCCTCCAGGAAACTCCCTCTTAGAAACGACACCTCCATGAGGACTGCAGAGACGTGAGGAGATTGGGTCCATAAAACAAGGTGCCACGGAAAAGGAACAACTCCAGACCGAGAAAGACGTCTTCAAATGAGATATGATCATCAAAACTAAAAATGCAACAGAAGGATCGGATAAGGCCAAGACTATCTTCCAGATATTAGGCTAAAAAAGACGAGGAAATGGAAATCAGTACAGGAAAAAATAGGAAAATCAGAGGGCAATCCTAAAGGTCCAACACCCACCTTACAGGGTTCCAGAAGGAGAAAACAGAGAAAATAGAGCAGAAGGAATGTCAGAGCCATAATCCAAGACCATCTCTCAGACTGAAGATTGTGAATCTCTGTATTGAAGGGCCCACGAGTGCCTGCCGAGCCCTGTGAATGGACCAGGCCTGCTCTGAGGCCACGTTGGGGTGAAACATCAGAACAACAGGTGAACAGGTGGGTCCCAAATGAAGGAGCAGCAGCCCTGGAGGCTGGAAGACCTGGAGCAAACTCTTCAAAGTTCTGATGGACAATGATTTTAGATGCAGAATTCTAGACCCAGTGAATCCATCAAGCAAGTGTAAGGAAATAATAAAGAGTTTTTCAGACACTCATGGACACAAGAACATCTACTTCCCATGTCCCTCTTCTCAGTAAGCTACAGAGAACATGCCATGGATCCAGGGAGCAGCAGATCCAAACAGAAGAGGGGTGAAGGAGGTCCCAGGGTAACAGCCAAGAGGCAATCAGTCCAAAATGTAGAAGATCAGAAGGCAGCAGAGGAATCCTCCAGGGGAGGGAATGAGACTCACAGATTTCATGTGATTTCTCTGCTGTGTATAAGGATGCAGAAAACATTATTGATGGGTGTTTGACAGATCTGTAGAAATGGTCAGGGAAAAAAATGCGACAGTTATGAATATAGACGCAAATATCCTCAAAAAAATACTAGCAAAATGAATCAAACAACATATGAAAGGGATTCTATACCATGAACAAGTGGGATTTATCCCAGGAATGCAAGGTTGGTTTAATATCTGAAAATCAGTCTGTGTAATACACCATATCAAGAAAGTGAAGACGAAAACCACTAGTAATTTCAATAGAAGCAGAAAAAGCATTAGATGGAATCCAAAACCTTTCATGATAAAAACACTCAACAATCTAGGAACAGAAGGGAACTTCCTGATAAAGGGCATCTAAGGAAAACCCACAGCTAACGCACACTTAATGGTGGCTTTCTCCCTAAGATCATGAACAAGGAAATGACGTTCACTCTTACCACATCTACTCACCATTGTGCCAGACGTCCTGGCTACAGCAGCAGTTAGGCAAGAAAAAGTAATAAAAAGCATCCAGATTGGCAAAGAATAAGTAAAATCATCTCTATTTGCAGATGACATGATCTTGCATACAGAAAATCCTGAAGAACCCCCTAAAAAACTATTAGAACTAATAAAATAGTTCAACAAGGTTGCAGGATACAACGTCAATATACAACAAACATACAAAAAGCTTATTGTATTTCTATACACTAACAATGAACAATTGAAAAATGAAATTCAGAAAATAATTTCATTTACAATATCATCAAAAATAATAAAATGCTTATGAATAAATTTAACAAAAGAAGTGCAAAAATTGTACTCTAAAAACTAGAAAATATTTTTGAAAGAAATTAATGGAAAAACATTCCATGTTTATGAAATGAAGACTTACTGTTGTTAAGGTGGCAATACACCCCCCAAACTGATCTACAGACTCAACACAATCTCCGTCAAAACCTCAGCTGGCTTCTTGGCAGAAATTGACAAGCTGATCCTAAAATTCATACAGAGTGCAAGGGATCCAGAATATTCAAAACAATCTTGAAAAAGAAGAACAAAGATGGAGGACTCACATTTCCTGATTTCAAAACTTACTACAAAGCTCCTGTAATCAAGACAGGGGTACAATGTAAAGATAGAGATACAGATCAACAAAGTAGAACTGAGATTCCAGAAATAAACCCTCATGTTTGTGGTCAATTGATTTTCCACAAGGGTGCTCAATGGGGGAAAGAATAATCAACAAATGGTGCTGGGCAACTGGACCTCCACGTGCAAGAGAATGAAGCTGGACCCCTTCCTCCCGTCATACACAAAACTTAATCAAAGTGGATCACAGACTGAAGCATAAGAGCTGAAACTATAAAACTCTTAGAAGAGGGGCCGGCCCCATGGCTTAGCAGTTAAGTGCGCGCACTCCACTACTGGCGGCCCAGGTTCGGCTCCCAGGCGCGCACCGATGCACCGCTTCTCCAGCCATGCTGAGGCCGTGTCCCACATACAGCAACTAGAAGGATGTGCAACTATGACATACAACTATCTACTGGGGCTTTGGGGAAAAAAAAGGAGGAGGATTGGCAATAGATGTTAGCTCAGAGCCGGTCTTCCTCAGCAAAAAAAAAAAAAGAGGATTAGCATGGATGTTAGCTCAGGGCTGATCTTCCTCGCAAAAAAAAAAAAAATTCTTAGAAGAAAATATGGAAGTAAATCTTTGTGGCCCTGGGTTAGGAAACACCTTCTTAAATATGACACCATAAACACAGGGGACAAAAGAAAAAATCTGTAAGTTGTACTTCATCAAAATTAAGAACTTTTGTGCTACCAAAAATATCATTAAAAAAGTGAAAAAACAACCCACAGAATGGGAGAAAACATTTGCAAATCATATATCTGATAAGGGACTTGTATCGAGAATGTATCAAGAACTCATAACTCAACAAAAAGACAAACAACCCAGGGCCAGCCCAGTGACCTAGTGGTTAAACTCATGCACTCGGCTTCAGTGCCCGGGGTTCACAGGTTCGGATCCCGGGTGTGGACCTACACACCGCTTGTCAAGCCATGCTGTGGTGGCGTCCCACATACAAAATAGAGGAAGATGGGCACGGATGTTAGCTCAGGGACAATCTTCCTCACCGAAAAAAAAAAGACAAATAACTCAATTTAAAAATGAGTAAAGTCTCTGAATAGACATTTCTGTAAAGAGGATACACAAATGGCCAATAAGCACATGAAGAGAGCTCAATGTCATTAGTCATCAGGTAAATGCAACTCTAAACTACGAGCTACCACTGCACACCCACTAGGATGGCTAGAAGCAAAGAGACAGACAATAACGAGTGCTGATGAGCATGTGGAGAAGTCAGAACGCTCACACACTGCTGGTGGGAAGGTAAACGACGCGGCTGCTTTGGAAAACGGCCTGACAGTTCCTCAGAAAGTTAAACACAGATTTACCATGTGACCCAGCAATTCCACTCTATGGTATCTATCCAAGAGAAGCGAAAACGTGTCCATGCAAAAACTTGTACATGAACGTTCACTGTGGTATTATAGCCAAAAAGTGGGAAAGCTCAAATGTCCACCAACAGATGAATGAATTAAAAAAAATGTAGTATACAATAGAATATCATTCAGCCATAAAAAGGAATGAAATTCTGATACACGTACCACATAGATGAACTTTGAAAACATCATGTTGAGTGAAAGAAGCCAGACACAAGAGGTCACAATGGCCTCTTGTCTTTTTATTTCCATTTTATTAAGTGTTCAGAATAGAAAAATCCAGATTTGTGATTGTCTGAGGCTGGGGGTGGGGTGGGAAGTGGAGAGTGACTGATAATGGGTATGGGGTTTTGGGGATGAAGATAATATTAGATAGATGATAGATAGATAGATAGATAGACAGATAGATAAGTAGACAGGTGATAGGTGATGGATAGGTAGGTAGATTAGTGACAGTTACATAGAAAACTGAGCAACTGGAAAAAAACTATTAATAACTCCAGGAAACACAAAAAGTTAGACACTATTTGCTCAGGAGTGAACAATATTTACATAGTCATTATATTGCAAACGCTGACTACTGATTTAACCAATAAACAAATAAACAAAACAAAATCATTTTGGAAAGCAAGCCGGAGTGGGGAGGGCTCACCTCCTCTGTGGTTCCCCAGCCCTGGAGGAACTGCCTCTCTCAACCCTCTCTTGTTTACCCGTCACGTCTATCCTGGAGACAGATACATCAGATGCGACCCCTTGGCCCCATCTTTGAGGACATGCAGAGACCAAAAGGGACGCTCCGGCGGACGCCCCTCCCTCCTCCTCCCGTCCCCTGGTTGTCCTGCTCCTCCGCAGAACTGGAGTGAGAACGTGTGCGCTGAGGGGCTGCTGTCAGTTCTCAGTAACTGAGCCCTTCAGAAGTAATAATAGTGCCGTCATTACCTCCATCGTCGCTGCTGCTCTAAAAACAAAACAAACCGACCCCGGAGCTCCATAGAGCGGGGCGGTGGGGACACCTGGTGGCCGGGGAAGCCCTGACCCTTGTTCCAGCAGGATCAGGGTCCCCATCTCCCTGCCCTTGGAGGGCCCCGGCTGCCTCGGAGTGCCCAGCACGGGCTCAGCTCAGCCCCAAGGCGTCCATGGGGGACCCTGCCTGCCCTCTCCATGCAGGGGCCCACGCTGCAGGTATGACCCCAGTCCCACTGATGCCCCTGCCTCCCAACCTCAGCCCATTCCCTTCCATCAGCTTCTCCTGCCCTCCCCTCACTCCAAATCCTGTTGGCCACTTACTCCAGGAAGGCTTCCTGTGGCTCCAGCCTTCCCTGGTCTCTTCCTCCAAAGCACCAGCTGGCTGGACCACCCCATGCCCCTTGATCAGGGTCATCCTCACCACATCCACCACCTAACCAGCACCATGCTCAGCCCTTTAGCTCCATCACTTGGTGCCTCCCTCAGCACAGCCCTATGTGTAGGTACAATTATTACCCAGCAGAAAAGGAAACTGAGGCTCAGAGTGGCACCCTGACTGGCCTGGGCTGGGTAATGGAGGAGTCAGGATGCAGATCCCAAGGCTGGGCTCTTACTCAATGCTCTGTGACCTGGCAGAGAAGCTTCTGTAAAAGTCAGCAGGGGTTGGTGGGAATGCCAGAGCATCAGAGAGCACTCAGGCTCACTGCTTTTGAAGGACACAGAGCCGGGCCCAGAGGTCACAGAGGACCTGGGGGCAGCACTCAGCTAGGACCCTGGACTGGGACAGCTCCTCAGAAATGGGGGCCCCTGGGGCAGCACAGCCCTCTGCCCACGGTCAGGAGGATGAAGAGCTCTTGGTTCAGCTGGCTACACAGGCCCCTGACGCTGTGAGGCCCAGGTCTGGGCAGATGGTGTCCTGCAGGGCAAGGCTGCCAAACCCAGGGACCTTCCTGAGCAGACGTGGACAGGGCGGGCAGGAGCATGTGCCCCCAGAATGGGCCCAGGCGTCAGGGGCCTCCCAGTGCACGCCCCAGAGCCCCTGACCACGAGACCTGCCGTGGCATGAAGGAGCTTGCTCTCTGACCCACCAAGGGGTCAGGTCAGGGTCAGAGGCCCGCTCCTCTCCCAGACTCAGACTGCGCAGGTGCAGCCTCAGGAAGGGCCAGTGCCCCGACTCCCGCCACACGGCCAAGGGGGTGCAGGGGAGCATGTGGAACTTTGCCCCCAGCCCCAGATCTCCTCTCTTCTCCTACAAAGGGTCTCAGAGCTCTGGGGCTGCTGGCCCTTTCCTGGGGCACCAGAGCAGCCTCGAGCTCCCAAAGGCACAGCGGGTGCCTGGGTGGGGGCGTGTTTGTGAATAACGTGGACGACCCCAGCCTGGCTCTGACCGTGCACTCACGGAGGGGGGCCCTGGCAGACCCTGAGCTGCTCCTTCCCTGAAAGACGCCTCAGTCAGGCCTGAGGGGGAATCAGAGCATGGAGAATCTGTGGGCGCCCTGGAGTCAGCCTCCCCGCAGCCACCCCCAAGATGCAGCCCCTGCCCTGCCCCCCCGCCTGTCCCCAGCTTTCCCAGCCCTGCTGAGCCCACTGCGGCCTGACGGCGACCCCTGGTGGCCACGCCGGGGCTCTCCCCACAGAACCAGGGCCACGACTCCTCCCGCCAACAGCAGTGTGATTTCTCTCCATTCCCCAGCACCCCACCCAGCACGGGCACATGGCAGCCCTCAGGAGGCGTGTGCTGGGTCACATTAAACTCATCCACGAACGGGGAACGCCCTGTGTTAAGGGGGAGGGGCAGGAGCGGGTGGGGACCCCGGCCTCTGCCTCAGCTTCCCGCCCCCTCCACCACTGCGGTCCACCTAGAGGCCAGCCTCAAACGTCCCCAGTGACCACAGGGAAGCCAATTAAGGACGAGGCTCCCAGGACCCTCTTTGCTGGGGCCTGACCCTAGACAAGGGCAGTCTGCTCTCACTCTCCCCCCTCCACCCCTCTGACCTCCTCTCAACTGCTGGCAGGTCTCCAGCTGCCGGCTCTGTGCACCCCCCTTCTCCACGTCACCCCTTCCCTGCCACCCCTCTGATCCTTCAGAAGATCCTCCGACATGGCCTCCACCAGGAGCCTCCCCTGGTCCATGGGCAAGGAGTCCCTATAGCCCCTGTGCTGGCCCTGCAGAGCCCTTGTCAACCTGTTCTGGAATAAATAAGCATATTCACTTGTCAGTACCCTCCCCCAGCTCATCCAGACAAGAACCAGGTCGTTTTCTCTGTTATAGGCCCAGTTTCCAGAATAGGACCCGGACACAGAGCTTACCCAGTCAATGTTTGATGAAGAGAGGGGTAGGGGAGGGAGGGTTAGGTGGGGTGGTGGATAGATGGATTAATAAACGGATGGAGGATGGAGGAACGGGTGAAGGGAGAGATGACATGGTAGAGGGTATGATGGAGAGATGGAGGGATGAACAGACGGCGGGGGAGAGATCGAGGAAGGGGCAGATGGTGGAGGGAAAAAGGGTAAATGGGAAAAGGAAAGGATGGATAGATGGAGGGGTGAGGAAGGGATGGTTGAATGATGGACGGAGGGAGGGAAGAAGGAAGGAGGGAGAAAGGAGTGCTCCATGACAAGGTGGCAGGGAGCTCCCAGCCGCCACCACAGGAGAGAGGAGATAAGGGGAGGAGAGGAGCGAGGGCAGGAGGCGCACAGCCCGGGCGCCGGCAGGTGCAGCCTGGCCCCCCGCCTCCCTTGGCAGAGGCGTTTCCAAGACTCCCAGGAGGTTCTCAGGGCCAGAATCAGTGTCCTCCGAGACTGGCACCCAGGGCATACTGGGGAACATGCAAACATTCGGGGGTTCCCTGAAATGCCTGGGGCACAGAACATGGCAAAAAGCAGGACTGGCTGCGCCACGCAGGACAGGCTTGGACTGCGGTCTGGGCGTCAGTGAGAAGCTGTGCCCTGAAGGCCGAGGGCGTCAGGGTTACACCTCACCACCTCGTTTAATCCTCACACCCCCTGAGACACCCAGTGTGTGATGCCCATTTCACAGATGAGGTGACTGAGGCTCAGGGTGGTGAGGGAACCCACGAGGGTCATGCCACCTGTAAGAGCCAGGTCCCTGTGCCACCCACAGCCAGGCTCCCACAGCCTGACACAGCGTCTGGGGCCGTCCGCTTACCTGGATCCCCTCGATGCGCTCGGTGACGACGTAGGCATGGTGCATGGCCACCAGCGGGACCTTGACTCCTGCCATCCGGCCCACAGCGTCCGCCCATACTCCTGCGGGCAGAGCACGGACAGCTCAGCTCTGTGGGCACCCAGTGGGGGCTGCCAGCCAGGTGGGCACAGGGCGCCTCTGCCTGTCCACCCTGGCAGCGACTCCCCCAGGTCACACCCGGGCCCCCACCCCAGAGAAAGGCCAGGTTTACGGAGCAGCCAGCGTGGCCACTCAGGAGCCAGGAGAAACACCACTCTCACCTGCACAGTTGACCACACAGGGCGTCTGGATGGAGCCGTGCTCCGTCTCCACAGCTGCCACCCGCCGCACCCCAAAGTCGTCCGTCCGCACACGGATGCCGGTCACCGGGCAGTTTTCGATGACCTGGGAGCGAGAGGAGCTGAACAGAGCTGGGCAGGCTCTGAGGGCGCTGACACCCACCCTCTCACACCCCGGTCCGGGCGGGGCCTGGGACCTCTGCCTCTGCTAGGGCAGCCTTCACGTGACACATCCGGGAAATGGGGTGACCACAGCGCCGGACACTAAATCCGCAGCTTCCGCGACTTGGACAACCTGTCCACCCGTCCCCAGATACGATGGCTCTTTTTCACAAAGTGACTTAAAAAAACCAAAGCGAGCCTCGTGTGACTAACAGATCCTTGCGGTCAGCTCCTTGGTAAAGAGGTCACACAGTGCAGTTCCCCTCTGTTGTGTCCCCATACACACCTTCATCGAGAAATATTTGGAGTAAAACTAAAATGTAATCACTGCCTACTTCCTGATGATTTTCATTTCTTCTTTTTTGCTTATTTGTCTTTCTTAATTTTTTCTACAGCTATGAGTGCATTTGAGACAAAAGAAGACAAAAATTACAAGAAGAGATTCTGGGAGGATGCGCTAGTCCAGCAGGCCCGAATCTCAGGGAAGGAAGGAGAGCCAACATCCGTGGATGGAGCCAAGGCCCAGCCTCCTTTGCAGGAGCCTGTCAGCAGGCTCAGAGAGGTCCTGCCCGGCCCAAGGTCACACAGCAGAGAGAAGGGCGCCTGTCCTCTCACCTTCTGCTCTTGGGGCTCTTAGGCAAGAGGGGTGGGCTGGCAGCAGGGGACCCAGGGCCGGCGGCCAGCGGTACCTGTGCTCCCCGGGCAGTGGCGGCCCTGGTGAGGGTGGTGCAGGTGCCGGCGGGGTCCATGGTCCCATCCTGTGGCACGTACAGGGTCCCATAGAGGTCGTCCACATTCATCAGTGGGTACAGTGCCTTGGTCTCCGCCGGGCTCAGCACATGGGACTCCACGCCGTAGGCCTTGCCTAACTAGGGGACCCAGAAGAAAGTAACTGAGTCCTCGGGGGTCAGACCTCCTCCGGCCACTGTCCTCCCCAACTGGGCCTCCAAGGGTCAGCTTAGACTCTGCCTCCTCAGGAAGCCTTAGCTGGCCACCACGCCCCAGAAGCCTGTGTCCCTTGAGCAGGCTTCTCATAAGGATAAGGAGCTCGATGCAAGGGGCAGAAGCAGGCTCTGGGGCCCTCACCTTCCTGATCCATCTCTGACACTAGCCACGTGACCTGGGTTAAGCTGCTTATGGACCCTGCGTGAAGGGGGGTAATAATGGCTTATGACCTATTACCTTATGCCCTGATACCCCTAAAGAGCTTGGACCAGTCTGTGGCACACAAGGCCTTACTATATAAAATAAATAAAAATAACCCCCACAGGTCTAATATCTTGGGCTTGAGGATCAGGTTCCGAGGTCAGACCAGCTCCCCAGAAACCAGGCAGGTCCAGGTCCCAGGCTCCTGTGCCAGACCACACCCCCATCACATTTGATAGGCCCAAGGGCAGCCAATCAAGCGTCCCCAGGCATGCGCCTCAGGACAGGCTCCGCCCAACTGGAGATGAGCTGAGCCAATCAGATTCTCAGTCTGCAAACTGTGAATGGAAAGTGGCAGAGACTTTACGCCCCAGGGGAACTTGAGCTAAAGGTTGGGGCCAGAGGCTTCGTATGGAGCCTTTACCCAGCTGGTGAGTGAGCCAAGGGGGAGGAGGAAGAAGGGGGCAGGGAGAGGACGAGGCGGAATGGGGCCATCTCCTAACCCCAAAGACCCAGGGCATTCTACTGAAGCCGGCTGCCCCTGCTTCCGGCCTGGGCCCCCAGGGGACTCAGCGACAATGAGCCTGTGCTAGCCACACAGCCGGCTCTGCTCCGTGAGCCCTGAGTGAGTATTCAGTCGGTGCTCAATAAGAAATGAATTGCTGGAGGGGCCTGTCTCACCCACGCCCTGGAATTTGGGGTCCAGGCCTGGCTGCCCTGGATTAGGAACCAACACCCCCACCCTGGTACAGGGCCTTCCACAGCGTAAGGCTTTCTCCCTCGTCACCCACAACTCCGTTCCCTAAGCCCTGTCGGTGGGGCCAGGAGAAGGGTGGTCATTGCCTCCTGGTTAGTGAATTTCACTACTCACCCACTGTCCCGTGAGCAGCACGCATGATGATGATAGTAACTCCCGGTTAGTGGGACTCTCCTGCCTCCGAGGCTCGCACACTGGGCTCGGCAATACAGTCCCATTTTAAAGGTGAGAATGCCGAGGCTCAGAGGGGCAAAGTCACCTGTCCCAGGTGGCTGAGACGGCAAGGGCAGCCCCAGGGTCTGAACCCAGATCTGTCGGGGCTCCTTCCGTGCACCATGCTGCTCTTCCCCCACCAGCAGGGAGTGCACCCACTGACATGAGCCCCCACGCTGGCAAGGGGCACAGCCACGACCTGAGCCCCCCTGCCCTGGCAGGGGACACCCACCGACATGAGCCTCTTGTACTCGTCCAGACGCTGCCGGTTGGACGCGATGAACAGGCCCCCATTCTGGATCCAGCCCGTGTGCAGCCCGGTCTCCTCCTCCAGGTCACGGCTCACCACGCGCCTCGTGTGGGCCAGAAGCTCCAGCTCCACGTCGCTGGGCCGCAGCTGCCACAGCAGGCCTGGCGGGGAGGGGCGGGACGTTATCAGTCCCCAGCAGGCCGGGGCCGCCGAATATCAGGCAGTGGGTCCGGGTCTTTCTCTGGAGGCCGTGGGGACCCGGGAGGTTGATGAGCAGGACATGGCAGGGTCAAAGCTGAGTTTTAGGAAGGGCGTCCAGGCCCTTGGGCAGCTCAGGGAGTGACCATATCAAAGGCTCCCATTTATTGAGCACCTACTGTGCGCCAAGCCCTGGACTGAGCCTGTCTCAAGGTGACAGAGCAGCCCTAGGAGGTGGGCATGATTGTTTTACAGTGAAATTAAGGTGGCGCCAAATGGTTCCATGACCAAGATCCCAGAGCAGGTCGTGACAGGGCCGGGAGCCCGACCCAGGACCGACAAGCCCAAATGCAGGCTCTTCACCAACATAGCCGCTCCCTCAGCACAGATCTGCGGAGCAGGAGGCCAGGGGTGAGGCTGGAGTGACGTTGAGGGCAAGGCCGTGCGGGCCCAGCTGCGATGGGCCGTGGGAAGGCGGAGGCAGTGGTGTGCGGGGCCGGCCGTGTCAGCTCTCAACACATGTGATGCCTGGACCCCTTCCCTGCTCCACACTCAGCAACCTTTTGCTGGCACCGGGATATTGGCCAGTGGGAGTGCTTACCCCACAGAAACTGACCAATGTATCCCAGGGTTAAGGCAGAAGGTTGGCTGCCCTGGAGACTTGTACACAGTAGGTGCTTAATACATGCCCACTGGTTAGTTAGGAGGATGAGAATCGTGGACACATCTGGTGCCCATGGAAGACACAGGATGCCCTCGGCATCACCCCAGCTGGCCCCTTCCCTGTCCACCCTCTACGCCCGGGGCCGCCCTCATCCCTGGTGGCTCTGTCCCCGGAAGGGGCTTCTGCTCTTTGACAGACGGCTGCCTGGACTCCCAGCTCTGGGCTCAGCTTTGCTCTCTGGGGTCCCACCGGCGGCATCTGCTGCCTCCTCCCCACCACAGCTCCTCAGAGACTCGGGGGGCAAGCAGGGCCCCCCAATCTGTCCACCTTCAGACTGACCCCACATCTTTTCTCCATGTCCTTCCTCCTCCAGCTCAGCTGCCTCTAACAGGTCTGTGGTTGTCCACCCAGAACTGACCCCTTGCAGAGTCCAGCCCCTCCTGGCCCCCACCTGCACCCCGCCCCTACCTGCCGTGTGCCAGGTGGTCCCGGAGGTCAGTCGGGCCCGCTCCAGCAGCACCGCCCCGCTCACACCCAGCTTGGCCAGGTGGTACAGGGTCTGGCAGCCCAAGCTGCCCCCACCAATGACCACCACGTTGGCTGTGCTGGGCAGAGGCCGGGTGGGGCCTTGGGCCTCCGCCGAGGGGCCCTGTGCCTCTTTCAGGGTCCGCTGGTATGGCACGCTCTTCTCAGCCGTGGGGCCAGCCCCGCTGGTCAGGGGGCGTGGCCCCAGGCCCTGGGCTGGGCTCCGGCGAGCGTGTGTGGCCACTACACGCAGGGCTTGGCTCAGCGAGGCCATGCGGACTCCAGGCATCAGCACGGCAGGGAGCTGGGGAGAGAGTCAGGGCTGCCTGGGGTGCAGAGCAGGTACATGGGGGCTGTGCCACGTTAGACCCCAAGAGACTGCCCCCCACGCTGTTACCCTCCAGGCCCACCTCCTGCCGTCTCCCCATGGCACATGTGTGCCCATGCATTCGTCCAGCGCATGCTCACTGAGGGCCTCGCACATGTCAGGCCCTGGCTGGGCCCGGGGAGACCATGTGGGAGGCAGGAGGTCGGGCCAGCCCAGGGAGCGGGCTGTTGGAGGGGGTCATCGGGAGGACGAGACCACCAGCTGATCCAGGAGTTGGAGCCCGGCAATCAGAGGCTCCTCACCCCCTCCCCATCCATGGAATGTACGCTCTGCCCACCGTTCCCACAGTGGGAGCTGTTCCAAGGACGCAGGCTCAAGAGAGTAAAGTGTTGTTGAGACCATCTGGACGATGGACGTGGCTGAACCCAGGTAAGGTCTCTGTATAAACTTTAAGGTTCTGGCGGGCGAGTGTGGAGATCTACTCGTCTTGCAGCGCCCAAGACCAGCCACATTGTGTAAGTTCCCTTGCTTATTACACCTGCACGGACCCATCTGGAGGGCTCTGCCTCTTTCTTCCGTCTCTCCCTGCCCTCCGTGTACGGGGCCCAGTGTGTGAACCAACACGGACAGAGAACGGGGCTGTGACAGAGCACGGGAGCTCTACGGGGGGTGTCGGGCCACAAGGGGAGGTGGGGCTGAAATGAGACGGGGGAAAGCGGGGTTACCCAGTGCGGGAGAGGGGGAGAGCCCCTGGGAGAGACCTGAGAACCGAGGACAGGAAGGAGCTTGGGTCTCACGGGAATACGGGACCCAGAGAGACGACCTGAGAGGATGAGGGGAGGCTGGAACAGGGAGGGGCCTGTCATGCGGCCTTGAGAGCCCCATCAGGGCTCAAGACACTTCCCGAGGGTGGGGGTCCCCGTGTCCTGCAGGTCTGGGTGGTGATGGGACCCGGGGGAAGGGGAGACGGAGGGAGGCGGCAGCCCCCAGGCAGCACGGGGGCGGTGGCTGTGGTGAGGGGATGGAGTCACTGGACACAGACAGTGGAGGGGAGGAGGGGCAGGTGGTGTGCAGGCAGAGCAGGTGCCATAGGACGGCTGGCAGGCAGCCCTGAGACAGGGACACCAACCCTCCCTGGGGAACTCCTGTCTGGACCCCAGACAGAAGTTGTTTCTGCCTCGTTGGCCCCAAGGCACCAGGTGAGAACAGCGGTGCCGTGTGGTCCAGGCCTCGCCCTCCCTCGGCCGTCTCAGGATCCAGGGTAGGGGCTTAGAGGCTGGAGAACCACCTCCCTTCCCTCTGCCTCCTCCTCCTTAGCCTCCTCCCAGTGGCCTTCAGGGCTCACCTCTCATCCCTCCTCCTTCAGGAAGCCCTCCCAGACCTCCCCAGCAGAAAATCATAATTATAATCAGAACGTGACGGGGAGCCAGCCTTTTAAGGAGAGAAGGTGCCAGAGAGGCATCTCCCTGGGGGTGGGAGGAACATGAGAAGGAAAGGACGCTTCAGGGGACCCTCCTGGGCCCCCTCCTGGGATCAGCAGGGAGTGAGAGGGCTCTGGCTGTGACCTGAGGTGGGCAGTGCCATCTACACTAAGAGTCATGATTGATAATCAATTAACTAACTAATTAGGAAAGTCAGCCTCCATGTCCAAGTGTGCACCACACACCCAGCTCGTGGCACACACACCCATTCCACAATCTTGAAATGCATGGAAGTCAGGGTGACTGCGGTCCCCACTTCACAGGGAGGAGATTGAGGCCTGCAGAGCCCAGCTAAGGAGACCAAGGCCACAGGGCCACTACGTGGCTGAGCTAGGGCTCAAGGCGAGGCCTGTGCGTAGCCGCAGCCTGCAGGTCTCCTGCCCCTCCTGCCCACTCGGGTTGGTCCGCAGACGACCCAGGGCCTGGTTTGGGGAGAGGAGGTGGCAGGGGACCCACTGCCATACCTGCGGGGGGTGGTGTGAGGGCCCCCGCTCTCAGGCTGGTCAGGGCTGCCCGGCCCACCACGGCGCCCCTCCTAGGGAGTGGGTGCAGAGAGGGAGCAGGGAGCCGTGACTTCAGAGGCTTCGGGAGTGGGGGGCTGGAGGTAGGGGCAGGGCGTCTCAGTCCCCTCCGTCGCCCGTTGCCCCGCGGGCTGACAGCCCATCTGCCTTCTGCCCACAGAGCTGGCCCTGGGCACGGGGAGGCGCACCCCCAGCTCGTGTCTGTACTTACCTTCCGTCCTTGAAGTTCCTTAATCTTCCTGGAGCCCCCAAGAGTGGCGTCCTACTGGTGGAAAGTCGGCATCACGTGGTTGCCGGACACGGTCAAGGCCGGGCATCTGCCCCTTGCCCTGTGCTGTGCTGCCCAGCACACCTGCTCCGCCTCTGGCCCGGCCTCCTTCCTCCTCCTGCTGCGCCAACGCCAACGCCGCTGGCTCGGGAAGCTGCCACGTGCCCCCTCCCGCCCGCCCGCCAGAAGCAGCTGCTTCAACATTAACCTGCTCTCCCGCCCCCTCCCGCCCTGTCCCACCCCCAAATCAGCAGGGGGCCCGTTCGTGGCCAGGGGTGAGGGCGCAGGACAGCCCAGGGCTTGGGGTCCGACAGAGAAGTGGGGGCTGGAGCAGCAACAGACACTGAGCTGTAAAGCGGGGAGCCCAGAGGAGCCCCCCCACAGGCTGTAGGGTGAAGGGGGGTTGATCCAGGAAAGCTCTGGGCAGAGCCTTCACCAGGTGAGGACGGCAGGGAGGGTGCCCAGGCCCCCGCCACCCACACAGGGACCCGCAGTCCCACCCACCCAGCCCAACCGTTGCTGCAGCTCCGGCCAGTCCCAACCCCGCCCCCAGGGGAGGGCCCGGGCCCTGCCCCTCCCCAGGGGTGTACCTCCAGCGGCCACAGCACCCCTCGGCCCTAGAGGCCTGCCAGCGCCTGGGCCCCTGGCTGCGGCCCTGCCGTCACCTCCTTCCTTCCCCAGCAGTGGCTGAGCTGGAACCTGGGCCGCCCCTGCCCCCGCCCCTGGCCGCTGGGCCAGCCCCAGTCGCCGCCCACCACCCGGGCAGGGTGCACCGCCCACCGCCGCCGGCCTCTGGGCGCCAGGCCCAGGCAGCAGCCCAGCGGGCAGCTCTGAGGGCAGCAGAGCGGGCTGTGAGCCCTGAAGCCCGTTAACCCTGGGTGACAGGGCAATGACCTCCCTTCATTATCTCTAAACAGAGGTTATAGGCTGCCTGCCCGTGCCCGTGGGCGCTCTGCATGCCCAAAGCAGCTTGGCACAGGCCGGCGGGCAGAAAGTGCTGGCTAAGCAGCAGCGTTGTGCCAGGACCCGCCGCCTTCTGCGCTGCCCGGTGAGGTGATCCAGGGCCTCAGCACGGACCTGCCTGAGCAGCCTCAGCTTGCTTACCCCCGGGGAGGGGTGCTCACTCCCCTAGGAGGCAGGTCAGAACGTCTGGGTGGGCCCCCAGGGTCCGTGGTCCCGAGCCGTCTGCGTCCGGCCCTCCAGAACTCCCGGATCCCTCTGTCACCTGGCGTGACGCCCCTGAGCCTCCTGGCTTTCCCACTGCCCCCATCCAGCTCCCCGGGGCAGGGATGCCTGCCTCGATTTGACTGTTGGGGGCACCGGGCCCAGAGAGGGGAGCCAGCTTGCCTTGGGCCACACAGCAAGCCAGTGTGGGGGCCAGACCGGAAGGCTGAGTGTGACCCTGGGTCTAGGGCATTTTGTCCACAGCCAGGCAGAAGAAGAGGCCCAGAGGAGACGTCCAGAGGAGACCCGGAAAGAAGTGCATATACCTCTGGATGCAAAAAGAATCGGGATAGGTGCTCACATAGAACAGGACCTTGTCCCGCGGGATCAAAGGAAGTGCGTTTAAATTAGCCAAGAAGGGCCGGCCCCGTGGCTTAGTGGTTGCGTACGCGCGCTCCCCTACTGGCGGCCCGGGTTCGGATCCCGGGTGCGCACTGACACCACTTGTCCAGCCACACTGAGGCGGCGTCCCACATACAGCAACTAGAAGGATGTGGAGCTATGACATAGAACTATCTAGTGGGGCTTTGGGAAGAAAAAGAGGAAAAAAAGGAGGAGGATTGGCAATAGATGTTAGCTCAGGGCCGGTCTTCCTCAGCAAAAAGAGGAGGATTGGTGTGGATGTTAGCTCAGGGCTGATCTTCCTCACAAAAATAAATAAATAAATAAATTAGCCAAGAATACAGCAATGCTGCTGAAATGGAGGAATCATAGCAGCAATACTGACGTGATTAATACTGATCAAACAATTGTGTTCTTGTTGCTCTGAGGCTGTCCGACTGTCTTGCTGCCAGTTTGTCTGTCCTTTACATTGACTGAGCACCTACTGTATGCAAAGCACTGCTGGGAGACCCAGAGACAACTAAGACCCAGTCCCTGCCCTCGAGGGGCTCAGGGTCCAGGAAGAAGGGAGGGGCGAGGTGGCCACAAGGCTGGCTGTGATGGGGCGCTCCTGACCAAGCTGGCCTTCCTTCCAGCAGGAATCCAGGAGGGCTTCTCAGAGGAGGTGGCCTGGGCACTGGCCTGCCATGTGCTGCCTCCATTCTCAGTTCCCACCAGGGGACAGAGACCATCACTCACTCCCCGGGGTCCCCTGGAGGAAGGCTGGCCCCGCCAGTACAAGGTTTCCCTGGAGCAGTGTGGGAGTCTAGGGCAGAGAGGACACCCGCCCGGTCACTCAGTGGATGGTGGGCCTGGCCCTGCAGCCTGAGGCAGGGCTGCACTCGCTTGGCAGGGTGAAGGACGGGTCAGAGACGGCAAGGAAGGAGCATGGCCACATCCTCCTGAGAGCCCTAGACGTGGAGTGCCCCGGGCGAGGGGCACAGCGTCACTGCAGCCCAGACCCCTCCTGACCCTGCACTAAAGCCAAGCAGGCAGTGCCGTCACCCTGGACTTTGGACAAGGGGTGGTGGCTGGAGGGCCGGGCCTGGCAGAGGGTCAGCGTCTTGGGTCCAGGAGAGGTGGATGGGCCACCCTGTCTCCCCCGTGGGCCAGACGGCACAGCCAGGGATGCTGAGACAGGGTCCTGCTGCCGACCTGCTGTACCATCTTGGGCTCGTCTCCTCTGCCCAGCCTCGGTTTCCCCATCTGGGAAGCAGGGACTATACCCCCTGCTGTGTCAGTTCCAGGGACGTTTGTAAATTTCCCTGTGTATCATTACTGTCTACCTTTAGCGCACTTTGAAGAAAACCGCGGTGCAAATGGAAGTCACAGTCGACTCACTGGGGCGAGGGGCTGCCCCCAGGCCTGGAACCCTCCCCCTGCCTCCAGGCCTCCACTGCCAGACTTGTCCCCAGCCTGCATGGCCTGGATGCACCCGGGCCAGCACTGAGATGCCTCCTTCTTGCCTGGGCTGGCCCTCTCCACAGGCCCCGGCCAGCCCTCCGCCCCCACCTGCTGGCCAGGCTTCCAGGACAGAGGGAGGCTTTGGCAGGGGGCCCTGCGACTGGGCAGAAGTCCAGGGTGGAACAGGGTGACGGGGCTGGGGGACGAGGCCCCTCCATGGAGCTCTGCTTGTGGCCCGTGGAAGAGGGACACTAAGTAACACACAACACCTGCCGACACCTGACCCAGAGGAAGGTGGGCCCAGCCACCCCCAGGACCTGGCCCCAGTCGCCTCTCAGCGGGGCCTGGAGCACCTACAGGGTGGGGCGGGGGGCAGGCAGTGTGCTGAGCACTCATGTAAGTCGTCTCAGAGGAGAGAGAAACACTGCTGTCCATTGTAGAGATGAGAAAACTGAGGCAGGACACAGCCAAGGGGTGCCAGGCCTGAGCAATTCACGGACTGGGGAAGTTTCCAGAATAACTTTTGAAGGCAGGATTTACACTGCCAAGATTTTATTTTTCCAATAAGACCCATAAAAAAAGCCCTAAAATACATCAACTACCCCCATGCTTTCATGAAGACAGAGTGTTTTCTCCTGGGTAAGTGGTGGCTCTTCCCGAGAGGCGGGTAGGCACGCCCTCCCCTGAGCCCACACAGCAAGGGCAGGCGGACAGGGCTGGGGGCTGTGGCACCCCGGCAAGGCGTTCCCAGGATTAGGGAGCTGAAGTGCCCTGCACCCCGGCACACACACAGCGCGTGTGGGCAGATCCGTGCCAGGCCCCTCAGGCCCAGAATGCAGAAACCCAGGTCCGGGAGCTCCCACCTCACTCCGTGGTGTTCCCAACATTATTTGTAAGTGAAACAAACGTGGGGGACGGAACTGGCTGCTCCCCGTGGCTGAGCCCGTGCGGGGCCGGCCCGGTGCCGTGTGCAGCCATCCTGGGCACCTCGCCCACAGCTGCAGGCTCCGCCACCGTCCAGCCGGGAGACAGACGGGGCTTCGGAAGAACTTCCTCTCGTGGAGGCAGCTCAAGGCTCAGGTCCCCTCTCCTCATTGACGGTGTCGGGAGGAAGCATGGAGAAAAGCTGGTGGCTGGGGCTGGGCCTGGGGCTAAGACCCCACAAATACCAGCCAGACCCTGGCCCAGTCAGCCAAACCCTCCAGGTCCCACGCCGGCCGCCTGGGGTGGGGGGTGGGGGAGAGACACCCCACGTGATCCAGGCTGTGCTCTACAGGTTTCCTTAAAAACCCAGATTCCCAAGCTTCTCTTGAAAAGCCGGGGCACGCTGGCCCTCTGGGCCCACACCCCTGCCAGACGCACTGAGAGGGGCCAGTTGCGTCCAGCTGGTCACAGTCCTCAACCCGCCACTTTGCCCTTCACATTCCCAGCTGGCCTCTGGGAGGTTGCTTTTCTGACCCCTGACAGGGACCCCCAGGGCTGCCCTCTCTTCGGCTCCAGGGGCAGGAGCTGCCCCCCAACCAGACCCCTAGTGTGACCGGGCAGCCAGGGGGCTGTGGGGCTTGCAGTGAACGCAGGTTACTACTATGCAGGGCTGTCTGTGGCCCGGGCTCTGAATGCTTAGGTGAGGGCAGCAGCCCATGGTGGGTGCCGGGCTGGTCACCCCCAGGCAGTCGGCCCCCAGGAGCCTGGGCCTCTGCAGGACACATCGCCCCCTGGTGGCCACATATGAGCACTACACCCTGGGGGAACAGAGCCTGTCCCCAGAGGGGACTTGCAGGGAGGTGGACGCCCATGGGCACTGACAGTCTGGGTTCAGCCTGGCTCTCCGCTGTTCCACAGACCACACGGAACACCCCCCAGCAGGGAGCTTCCTTAGAGACTGCTGTCGGCTCTGTCTTGGTCTCTGAGAGAGGAGTGTGGGACGCCCCCTCTAGACTGGGAATGAGTCCATTTCTCCCCATAATTCTGTCTGTTTTTATTTTATATATATTTGAGGCTGTGCTGTGAAGTGGATTAAGCTCTGGGATTGTTACAGCTTATTGTTTACTTGTCCCTTTTTATCATGAAATAACGAACCTCTTTATCCAGTGGGGAGCTTGAGAGGTGGGGAGGATACTTTGTTCGGAGTGTTGGCCCATTTCTGTGGTGTAAATACTCCCACCAGGGCCAATTTCAAGCCCCAGCGTGAGGGACGTCACAGAGCACGGAGGTGGGAAGAGGCGCACACAGTTGGCTCTTGTGAGCTGGCGCCAGCTGGTCGGAGTGCGCCAGTGTCTCCACATGTGACAGTGCTTTCCACCTCCCATGTGTCCTGTCTGGTCTGGATAAGCTTCTAGGCGCTTTCTCTGACAGTTTCCCTGGCGTATCTTTTTCCATCGCTCTGCTATCAATATCCTTGTGACATGGCGTCTCAGTCGTGTCCAGCACATTCCTGGTGAAGAGTGTGACACGGAGCTGTGACCTTTCACAGCTGGCGATGACAGCTTCTCAGCAGAGCTGCAGAGCAGAGCGGGGCTCAGCAAACCAGAGCCTTTCACCGGCTGGGCTGCCCGTCTCCATCCTGCTGAACGTGCTGAACCCGCTGAAGAGGGAAGGGAAACGCACGCAGGCGCGTGTGTGGGTAAGACTCAGGTTTACAAGTGGTGTCAGCGAGAGGTTGTTCCTTC